CAGCGCCCGTGGGTGCTGGAGCTGAACTGTGCCCGGCCGGGCCCAAGGGTGGCAGCACCCTGGGGACAGGGGCAGTGAGACATCCCTGCCATGGGAACACAGGCACTGGGGTGTCCTTGCTCTAGGGACATCCTTGCCCCTGGGCCAACACGCTCACCTTGCAGGGAACTGCCCGAGCCTGGCGCCATGGACGCTCCACCCGTCACACTCGGAGAGCTGCTGTGTCTGGGCTCTAGCCTGGCCTTCTCCGGCCTCTTCTACTACCTGTACAGGAAGAAAGCCAAAGCTGTGGCACGCATACAGGTAGCTCTGTCCCTCTGATGCTTTTTCTTGCCCACTGCTGTCCTACACTGCCTGGTCCAGAGCCTCTGCTTTGGGTGCCCCTTGCTGATGACCACAGCCTGCTGCAATTTCACCTTACCCAGGAGAAGCAGGTCACATCCTGCCAGAGATCCCCACAAAGCCATTCATTACCCTCTGCCTCCCAGCCCATGTTCATGCTCAGTCTCTGCTCTTCCAGGAGGCCCCAAAGCTCCAGGTTGATGACAATTTACCAGCGCTGGTGTCTGCAGCTGATGGGAGGTGCCTGCCATACGTTGCCCTGGAAGGTGAGGAGACCCCATGGTCCCACACTGTGGACAAGGGCCAGGCTCTCCTTCTTTGATTGTGATGCATCCTTTGGTCCTTAGGCATAGTGCTGCCAGCCAAGGCTGTGCTGACTAGCCATTACCATGAAGGGCTACAGGGTGTGATTCAGAAACTGCTTCTGAAAGAGCATCGGCTGATCTGGAACAGCTTGGCCCGGAGCTGGTGAGCAATGGGAGGGGACAGCAGGGTTGGGCTTGCACCAATGGGTCCAGACCCCTATCCTCTAGGGCCACTTGAGAGGCAGAAAGCAGCTTGGTTCCAAGGCTCTAGCCCCTACCCTTGGCTCAGCCCCAGAAGCTCAGAGTTCCTTCATGTTGTCCACTTCTCAGCGCTGCGCTCTCTGCTTGCAGGAGTGAGAGCGAGCGAGTGCTCTCGGAGCAGGTCTACACCGTCCCCTTCCTGCTGGCCTCGCCAGACACCGGGGCAGTGACACAGGTGAGCGTGGAGAGCCCACTCCGAGCTGTCTGCCTACCACTGGAGACGGTGTACGAGCGGTTCCAGCAGCCTGCCCATGGCTTCCGAGACCTGCTGGGCCAGTACTTAAGCGGGGAGAAGCCCAAGGGCATCCTGGAGACAGAGGAGATGCTGCGGGTGGGGGCCGGGCTGACAGGCATCGGGGAGCTGGCCCTGCACCCCCAGGGCTCCCTGCACCTCCAGCCATGTGCCCAGGGCGGGGAGTATTTCCTGTGCCTGGGGGACTGGCAGGGGGTGCTGGCAGAGCTGGAGACAGCCAGAGGGCTCTGGAAGGGAGCAGCAGTGCTGTGTGCTGTGGCCGGCCTGGCTGTCCTCCTGCACGCCCTGTGCCGTGCCTACCGCCACGCCAACTTGAGGCAGCAGCCCGAGGACAAGGAACTGGATGGCGAGGAGGCTGGGGAGCTTGAGGACTCCTGTGTCATCTGCTTGACACGGCCCCGTGAGTGCGTCCTCTTGGGCTGCGGCCACATCTGCTGCTGCTTCCGCTGCTTCCAGGCCTTGCCTGCCCGGCTCTGCCCCATCTGCCGGGGGCCCATTGACCGCGTGGTGCCCCTCTACCAGGCCTGAGGGGATCTGGGTGGAGGGTGGCCGGGGAGGGGCAGCATGACCCAAGCCCTGAGCCTGCAGAAATCCCCTCACGTGCAGCTGAGTGATTCCTGTTGGAAGAGAAGAGTCCTGGAGTGCCTCTGTTTTTTTTTTTGGAGAGGGGGGCAATTAGAGTGTCCTCAGCCTCCCTTTGTCTGCCAGAGGGACCCTCCTCCCCAGACATGAAGGCCTGGGGAAGCATACTCAGTGCCTGAGCTAAGTCTTCAGCCCCACGCCGTGGTGTTCTTCTGGCAAGTGGCTGTTTGACCAGTTCCCTGACCCCTCCCTAAACCACACAGGACTTTTCTCTTCTTTGGCTTTTTCAGTGTGTGGCTAAATGAGGAGGATGTCAGGGGCAAGAGCAGGGCTGGCAGGACAGGGTGGGTAGGGTGACAAAGACTCCAGCTACCCCTGAGTCACTGCAGTGGTGCACCTTGGTGCTGCCATTATTCCCCCCCCCAATCTGTGTGCCTACAGCTGCTGCCCAGACCATGCAGGGGCACCCAAGGGCTTGCAGTGATTAAGTATGTCAGCCAGGGAAGAAGACAGTGTCCCTGTGTCCCTCTCCACTGGGTCCCCTCCCTGCTGGAGAGGCAGGACAGCCCTGGGGCCCCCAGCCTTCCTGCCCACTCAGGGCAGGTGCAGAAGCAGCTTGCCATGGTGTGTGGAGTGATAAAGCCAAGGAGCTGAGCTCGGCCTCGCCTCTTCTTTCGCACCGCGAAGTCGGGGGGAACAAACCTGCAGGCAAGACTCTCCCAGAGGGGCACAGGACACCACTGCCCCTCCCCAGAAGTTGTGGGCAGGCAGAGGACTCCCAGCCAGGATTCACCTCCTTAGGAGACAGTGCCGACTGGGGGGAACAGGACTGTTGCCAAGGCAATCGTGCTCCTCCAGTCTCCATGGCAACCACTCCCCTGGACCTCCCCATCAGTGCCTGGCTGCAGTTGCCCAGGCAACCCACGGGCTCTTGCAGCTTTGGGGCACCCAGGATTTGGAGGGGGGGGAGGGGGCACAGCACTGGCAGGCCTCTGGCAGCCAGACAGCAAGGAAGCAATGATGTGCCCCCTCCCTAGAACAACAGCCTCCATTGCTACCAGTTTGAGGCTGGGGGGTTGCTGAGGTGCATGTGCCTGTGTAGTGTTGTCCCCAGGGCCCGCAGCAAACCATAATGCTCCAGAGCACCCAACCTGGGACCCACATCCATTTTTGGGGAGGGGGTGGGGGGAATGTTCCCCTCTCCCCCATATTTCAGCCCAGCCTCTTCCCTACATCAGCACAGTGACTGTCATGCTGCAGAGTGAGCAGTGGGGCCTTGGTGTCCCCCCTGGAGCCAGGCATTCCCCCCACAGCAGGAGGGATGTCAGGAAGGAGATAAATACCAGATGGGAGAGGGCCAGGCTGCCAGGAACACACTCCCTGTGTGCCAAGAGCTGCCCTGCACGCCCTGTGCCGTGCCTACCGCCACGCCAACTTGAGGCAGCAGCCCGAGGACAAGGAACTGGATGGCGAGGAGGCTGGGGAGCTTGAGGACTCCTGTGTCATCTGCTTGACACGGCCCCGTGAGTGCGTCCTCTTGGGCTGCGGCCACATCTGCTGCTGCTTCCGCTGCTTCCAGGCCTTGCCTGCCCGGCTCTGCCCCATCTGCCGGGGGCCCATTGACCGCGTGGTGCCCCTCTACCAGGCCTGAGGGGATCTGGGTGGAGGGTGGCCGGGGAGGGGCAGCATGACCCAAGCCCTGAGCCTGCAGAAATCCCCTCACGTGCAGCTGAGTGATTCCTGTTGGAAGAGAAGAGTCCTGGAGTGCCTCTGTTTTTTTTTTTGGAGAGGGGGGCAATTAGAGTGTCCTCAGCCTCCCTTTGTCTGCCAGAGGGACCCTCCTCCCCAGACATGAAGGCCTGGGGAAGCATACTCAGTGCCTGAGCTAAGTCTTCAGCCCCACGCCGTGGTGTTCTTCTGGCAAGTGGCTGTTTGACCAGTTCCCTGACCCCTCCCTAAACCACACAGGACTTTTCTCTTCTTTGGCTTTTTCAGTGTGTGGCTAAATGAGGAGGATGTCAGGGGCAAGAGCAGGGCTGGCAGGACAGGGTGGGTAGGGTGACAAAGACTCCAGCTACCCCTGAGTCACTGCAGTGGTGCACCTTGGTGCTGCCATTATTCCCCCCCCCAATCTGTGTGCCTACAGCTGCTGCCCAGACCATGCAGGGGCACCCAAGGGCTTGCAGTGATTAAGTATGTCAGCCAGGGAAGAAGACAGTGTCCCTGTGTCCCTCTCCACTGGGTCCCCTCCCTGCTGGAGAGGCAGGACAGCCCTGGGGCCCCCAGCCTTCCTGCCCACTCAGGGCGGGTGCAGAAGCAGCTTGCCATGGTGTGTGGAGTGATAAAGCCAAGGAGCTGAGCTCGGCCTCGCCTCTTCTTTCGCACCGCGAAGTCGGGGGGAACAAACCTGCAGGCAAGACTCTCCCAGAGGGGCACAGGACACCACTGCCCCTCCCCAGAAGTTGTGGGCAGGCAGAGGACTCCCAGCCAGGATTCACCTCCTTAGGAGACAGTGCGGACTGGGGGGAACAGGACTGTTGCCAAGGCAATCGTGCTCCTCCAGTCTCCATGGCAACCACTCCCCTGGACCTCCCCATCAGTGCCTGGCTGCAGTTGCCCAGGCAACCCACGGGCTCTTGCAGCTTTGGGGCACCCAGGATTTGGAGGGGGGGGAGGGGGCACAGCACTGGCAGGCCTCTGGCAGCCAGACAGCAAGGAAGCAATGATGTGCCCCCTCCCTAGAACAACAGCCTCCATTGCTACCAGTTTGAGGCTGGGGGTTTGCTGAGGTGCATGTGCCTGTGTAGTGTTGTCCCCAGGGCCCGCAGCAAACCATAATGCTCCAGAGCACCCAACCTGGGACCCACATCCATTTTTGGGGAGGGGGTGGGGGGAATGTTCCCCTCTCCCCCATATTTCAGCCCAGCCTCTTCCCTACATCAGCACAGTGACTGTCATGCTGCAGAGTGAGCAGTGGGGCCTTGGTGTCCCCCCTGGAGCCAGGCATTCCCCCCACAGCAGGAGGGATGTCAGGAAGGAGATAAATACCAGATGGGAGAGGGCCAGGCTGCCAGGAACACACTCCCTGTGTGCCAAGAGCTGCTGGCGCATGTGGGCCAGGGGGAGTAGGAGGGGGGGTGCCCCTGATCCCTGAGACTGCTCGCCTTGTTCCCCAGGGACAACAAAAAAGGGACCCACAGCTACTTACTGCCCTCTGTCCCCACTGGTGCTGAGGGTGCCGAGGGCAGGGGACACATCTCTGGTGCTGGAGGAAAATTAGGAGGGTGTCACCCCTGCCTTATACTACTCCATCATGTCTCTGTCATCCCTAGGAGGTCACCAGCCCCCAGCAGGGTGGGCTGGACTCTGCTGAGCAGTCCTGGCTCCGCTCCTGGTGACAGCGTGACTCAACCAGTCAGCTCAGCCAAACCCTGGCTGTGCCAACCCGCCCGGCACAGGGGCTGCCCGCCCTGCCGCAGCCCCCGCGCCCCCGGCCCAGCCCGCTGTCCCACCCCCGGGGGGCGGGGTTCGGCGCAGAGCAGCTCAACTGGGAGCTCACAGTGCTCAGGCTGAGCCCTGCAGCCTCCAGAGCCCAAGAGGGACCCAGATGACCTGCCAGCTGCCCCCTCTCCCCGGCCCTGCAGGGTCCCTGCGTCTGCCAGGCCATGCCCACGGGCCCCACCCGCACCCTCGGGGCTGCCAGCCCGCCTCCGCCTGCCCCCCTCTGT